TTATTATTATTATATATATCTTAGAAACATTTTTTATTTCAAGTTTTAGACAATCTTTGCTATATCCATGCAGTTAAATATTGAATTTTCAGAATAATATAAGTTTAATTGTCTTAAAACCTACAAGGTTGTTGTGTTGGTTCTATTAGTACTTACGTGTTATTGCCATGATTTTATTTTTTAAGGGGTGCAAATGAGTTTATTTTCAATATAAGATTCGAATATGTATATATTTATTTGCTTAAGGCTATATACGATTAAATAAAACTTAAAAATAGTAAACGTTAAACTGTCCAAAAAAAAAAAAAAGGATATAGCATGTTAAATTGACACGCGTATGTTTTCTTTGTCATTTCAAATTTCTTACTTAATTAATGTATGCATTTTGAGTAGAAATATTTTTACAATTAAGTCCATAAGTAGTTAAAAATTTAATGTTTTTGTGTGTGTGTGTGTAACCTTTTTTTTTTTTTTACCAAAATTCGTAAAAGGCTTCTTGTGAAAATATTTTATTATTGTGTACTAACTTGTTGTGAAAGTTTTATAAATAAGAAAATAAATAAATAATGTTTGTCTTGTGCTATATTTTTATGTCAACAATGAATTTAAATTTATTTGATACTTTTATCCTTGTTAACATTCCATATATGTACGATTATATACTTAGGACATTTATGTAACCTAGCATTAATATTTTAGAAACCAAGGGACCACTCCACTTACAATGCATCAAATTCTTAGATAGAAGAGACCATGCCTTAGAATTTAGAGCATAACTATAGTTAACTTATTTTGAAGAAAGTACGTAGTGGAAAACCCAACATAGGGCATCACGAGACGATACGTGCCAAGTACCCTTAATTATTTGGTATATTTTAATTTCGAGGATGAAATGTATTTATGGGGTAGGAAAATGTGATGTCACATACTTTTCATGAATTAATTATCATCCCTATCTAGATTAATTTTATTAAGGTTACATGTATTGTTTATTAATAAAATTATCTTCTACATGACTAATTATATCTTTTACAGTGGAATGTGCCTTAGATGTCCAAGATGATTGGCGTGCCTACTAGTTTAATTTTAATATATTTACAATTTTATTAGGTTTAGATTAAATTACATGATACATTTGTTTCATTTTGGACTTATGGCCAGTCTTGCATTTTTGGGTGAAAACTAGGTGTCGAGTTATAATAATATCTCTCTTGATAAGTTTATTTTTGAATTATTTAACTTGAAAAAATTATAATTGAACGACATAATTGGAAATTTAGTTAACCAATGGATCCAATTTAAGGCTAAATAAACTAACAGGAATAAAATAGGTATCTCATTTATTAATTCATACAAATCATACCTAATTAAACGCCATTTGGTTCAAGAATCAAGATTTTACCTTATTATACCTTTTGAGGAAATTACACCAAATGGCATTTTGCCATCATGTATGTACCAAAATGTCACTTTTTTTAAGGAGTTGCAAGAATGTCAAAATTGGACATATATACCCCTCTGCATAATTTAAATACCATCTATGTCTTGTATTGATTGTGATTTGACTACACATAAAAAT